GAAGTCCAATACAGCTAACAGACATGATACCTAACAGCAAATGATTATCAAGAGTGCTGTAAGAGTTGGGCAAAACGATATAAAAAAAAAACAAGTTGCCCTGAATACTGTGTGTAAAGTTGAAGAAGCCCCTTGTTTGGCAAAATGCATTGTGTGTGCTTTAATATTGTTTGAAAGCACGACTTCCAGAAGCCCCATGTTTGGCAAAACACATTGTGTGTGGTTTAATATTGTTTTTAAGCACCACTTCAAGGAGCCCCTTGTTTGGCAAAATGAGTTGTGTGTGTTAATATTGTTTTTAAGCAAGTTTATTTGGCTTACATCTATTTTATAGTGCAAGACCACTTATTATACTTTTTATGCTTTTTATTGTTTTTTAATTGTTCCTGGCACATTTAAAGCTTCTGAAGTATTCACTCTACTCTACATATTTCAGGAGATTGCCTTCACGGGAATCTACTCAATATATCCTTGGAGGGGATCATACCCCCCAAGCACTATCTCTTGAGTGGTATTACTGCTCTCCTAAATCTGAGTAAATTACCATCTATATTTTTTCCTGTTTTTGGTCATACTCAGTAAGCACTATTATTTGCTTTTTATGTTTTATGTTTTTTATATTCATCTGGATGCTGTGAGATCCCTAAAGAGCTACATATTCACCACTGGGGACTATACCGCTGTATGCTGTATACTGTACACTGTTTTCTATAACAAATGTGAGTGTGATTCCATATATCCTATTGTGTTTTTTACACCCCCCTCCCCCCCATAGACTGTAAGCTGGTTTGAGCAGGGCCCTCTTCAACCTAGTTCCTGTTTTTTGTGATTGTCTTTTTTATTGTTAAATCTTCCTCTTTATAATATTGTAAAGCACTATGGAATTTGTTGGAGCTATATAAATGCTAATAATAATAATAATAATAATATCCTTTTTGTGTGTACTGAATTAAGTATTTGACTACCTTCACTGTTATTCGCTATTTTCTGTTTTGTTATATATATCTATCACCAACTGAACTTATCTTTTTGTATTTGTATTCACTTTTTGTATCACACAGCTTTGTTACAATGCTGCTGCCAATCCCGTGTGTTCCCTGTTAAGGGTTAATAAGTATATAGGGGTGTATATAAAAAATACCCCTCTCTGTCACATTAGAGATATCTTTGCCAGAAGCTCAAGGAAGCATGGCGAAGGGTCAGTGTAGGACCTGCTTAGGGGGGTCTGCCATGACGTTGGCAGATGGCATTCCCCCCAATGGTCATTGGAGCAACTAAATGACCTCCATTTGTCTAAATATACATAGAGATTAAGGAGCGAGCGCAGGTAACTTTTTTTCTTATCACCAACTGAAGCCTGGACGATTCCAAGTCAGGATCTTCCAAAGAACTGTTTTATTGGACGCACAGTATGCAGGGCAACCTGTTTTTTGTGTTTTGTATAATTTGCTTCTTGCCAGTAAGGTGTTGGGGAAATTCCTTATATTCAGTGTTTGCAGCTTATTTCACTTTTTATATTAATTGTTTTCGTAGTGCTTATCCTATCTTTCGTATTTGCTGAATCTTTTGCTCTTAAGAGTCGAGCAAAGAATGTTAAATATGGATAACGTATTTAATTTCTTTGTATGGAGCTTGAGTGTGTCCCAGCTGCAAGAACCCATCTTGAACATCACCCAGCTTTCTTCAAAAAAATTCCTTTAACAGTCAGATGAATGTCAGATCTTTACAGATTGACTCCTAAATATACTACTACAGAAGATATCAGCACTTTCTTTTTATTTTTTTTAACTATAAAGTGTTGTTAGGTTTTAAAGGTAGAATATAGCTAAACAGTGCTATTATTTTTTTAGCTCCCTCCATGCAAACAATTTGAAATTTTCCCTTCACACTTGCTAAGAACAGTTAAT